CTGTCTTACTTTTGATTTTGATTAATCTATAATACTCTCGAAAATTTGTCACATGCAAAACCACAAAACAAATGAGTCTACCGTGCACACCATTTTAATGGACCGGTCACACTGTATGAATGCATACACAAAAACACTATGCTCAGATTCACATTCAAACACTTTTTTTTCACGTCAGCTTTTTAAACTTATTTTCCCAGAGAGATCCAAAATGAACTTGTCCACCTCCAGTTTGATAGAACGCATACAAAAAGATTTATTTGAAAAGATAGAATCTGATTCATGCATACACATGAACAATTGTATGAAGACAAAATAAAAACAGTCGACATAGTAGAGATGTTCAAATGATAGTTTTCATTATTTACAGACATGTGTTGAAAAAATAAAGATTAAACTATCTGTACACACTGAACAGCTGGGTAGTCCTACACAGGGTTCACTGCCACAGTTATGATTACGTAGATAGCGCTCACTGCAATACACAGTTACAACAAAACGCACATGTTCATCAGAAAATAATTCTACTATTAGGAGATCATGACAAATCATCTGTCAATCTGTATTCTGCTTTGTGTCGTACAATGAACGTACAGACAAACAGAAAAATGCAAAACAGTGGTTCCCATACATGTATTTATTAAAAGTGATAGTTATTTGATTAACTTGTAGAAAAACGTAATTAATAATGATTTAAAAGTACTTTTGTACTAAATAATTTCACTTGACCATTATCATTAATATAATTATTAAAACTTCTTTATAACGGGTAGTCTATCAATCTAATGCTATTCTATCATGCAGGCTTGTGTTTTTTTTCTCATATTTGTCAATCTATGCAATATTGAGTCAAGATGACCTTCAGTGCCAAATGAACACAGATGGTGTTGAATGTTAAGATGTGCTAGTCACATTTGTATTAATATGCACACACTAGGCAGCAAGAAAATGATTTTTTTGATCAACCAAGAATTCATTTTTTCATCATTGTGTCCAAAGGATTAAAAAAAATATGAAAAATAATTAGTGAAAATAATGCATTCATGTGTTAAAGGGTTACTGGGGACAGAATGAACAAACACTAGGGACATCACCACACTGACAGTTAAAATGTAGCTTCATTATTAATGAAGCCATATATGTATTACTGAATAGGGGTTCTCCCATGGTGTACTTGTAGTGTAAGAAGAAAAAGAATGTTGACAGAAAGTGCAACGTTGTAAAAAGATTCTCTTATCTTTTCAAGTAGGGTGCTGACCCCTCCATTATTCACACATGTGAGATGCATCATGGGAGTACCATAATGCATTGGGACTTCATTTATTAAAGAAGCAAAGGATGAGAATTACAAGATACCATTGTATATATACTCGTCATTTAAACACAAAATACACACAACACCATCAAAGTGATGATTTTCCTGACAATTTCGCCTTCTCAGGAGTCTAATCATACTATGGCAGGGGTTCATATGATAACAAAATTTTTATTGCCTGCTTTAATTAATTAGACATCACCACAGTGTCTTGACACCAGTTTGTCATTAAACTCATTGATAAGGCTGCTAACCATGATAATTACAGATTAATTGTAACATATAAAAATATCATAAATATTGAATATTTCATATGTACATTAATAATTAAGTTAGTACAGGGAACAGGTTGTGCCTGAACAGGGACTAAGTGCGGACAAGTATGGAAGAGAAAGTCTAGTAGTAAAAAGGTTAAAGATGAACTTCTAATAGAGACAATATGGTAATACCGTTTACAGGACTGGCTACCAATCGCTTTGCTTGAATTAAACATATTACCCATAATGCACTGAGGGAGTAACACAATGCATACATGTAAAGAGCTTCATTTAATTTCTAGAATTGAAATCTTGATATCTTGTAATATGTTGGCAATTTTTGTTTCAATTATGATTTTAAGTTGCATTTCTCCATAAATGAAAACAATTTACCTTTCCATAGAATTATAAAAGTGTCATTCAAAATATAATTCAGATCAATAGCATGTCAGCAGCTTGTCTGAAAACTTTTAGTTGCCAGTCGTTATTGCTGGTTTTCAATACAAACTATGTGACATACACTTCACGAAAGAGCCGGGCATCTTTTCATATTATTATGGAAGTCAAAAATGTTGTGCATAATGTATTTACAACATAATATAGCATATAGGCCAGGGTACATTGTTTGACTATAAATGAAAATATTCTGAAAAAGTCAATAAGAAAACTTTTATACATCAATTAGGAGGTAAGGTTGGATGTGAATGAACGGACATGATATTTAATAACAGTACAACGTTTGTTTTATTATGATTCGTAATGAGTTTTACTTAACTTGAGTACATGAGCAGAATGAATAATGACATGCACTGTTAGTTTTGACATCTTTCTAGATTACCTTGAACAATGATAAAGCAATAGTAATTAGTAAAATTAGCCAAACAAGATTGTATTTTTGTGGTTTTTTTGCTTGATAGTTTGTTATACAAAATCACTGTTAGATAATTTTATTTGTAACAATTAATATTTGTAAAAATGCTCGGCTAAACCATATTAAAATTACCCTATGCACTATATGTACACCTAACATCAACCCTAAGCCTAATTTCTCTCCCAGAACTACTCATACAATAGTAATTTACATATTTTTGCATTGTGTATTCAAAAATGGCCTTCCTACATGTATATGTACATGTATGGCAAGACTACCGGTAATATGGACTCCTTACATCGCATATGCTAATATATCCTATGTTGCTACATGTACCTACTACCAACTACAAGAGTGCCATGAGTTGACATCCCAAATAGCGGTAGATCAAAAACTTAATTTTTTTAAACGAAAAAAGATGACTGCAGAGATGTAAAGTCATCATTGCAGGATAATTTATTCATTTTTAATAATTTCATAACTACAAAGTTAGGCATAGATTCAACTAACACGTTAACAAATATAAACATAACAGCTACTGAAGTGCCCTTTAAAATTAACAAAAAAATGTTTAACAAGGACAAATATCGTAGTTGAAGATAAGATAAGGCATAGCAAAACTTGAGCACCACATAACTGTCAAACACTTGTCATCTAACAAATCTTGTTGACATTTGACCTACATCCAGTCAACATAAAAAAACTGTAATGTTTTTTTATCTCTTTGAATTCTCAAAGACAAACTCAGACAGGTAATTATTTGACTATTGTACCCGTGAGAAAAGACTACATATATTACCATTCACGTCAATATGAACTTGAACTTGTGTACAATCTATATTTAGGCAAGTTACTGAACTCCCTCCTGAGCTTAAGTCTGTTCAGGATATAAATGTCAGTGAATCAATAAAGCTGCAACATTGTTACAACTTTCAACAAAGGGTACAAAAAACACAACCATTTAAACGTCCCCTGAAAAGCATAATCCCAGAAAATCAAATATGAATTAATTATTGCCTATTTTTTTATTTTCCCACAGGATTAGAAGTCATGGCTGTCTGGTCAAGAATTTATTTTATGCACTATTCCATTGCAAACAATTTGACAACGTATTTGCCATGTTGATGTTACTTTACATTTATTTGAATAAAAAAATAAAATAATAGATTACTGTAGACTACTTTATTTTCGCTTGGAATTTATTTTCGCTGTTTTCGCTGAAGGGATGATTCCGTGAAAATAAAATCCAGCGAATATACTTTTTTTCCTATATTTCACATTAAACTCATGAAAAATCAGTGAAAATAAATTACAAGCAAAACGCCCAAAAAGCCTTTTCAGCGAAAATTAATTCCAGCGAAAATAAAGTATTCCACAGTATATGCATTGTGGAAACAATGTTTTTTTCATGTGTTTCATAGAACGCATTTTGAACAAGACGCAGCACATTGACTGCGTTGTGATTTAAATTGTTGTTTTCAATTTTCAACCTACATGTACACCCTACATGTACAACCTACACACGCACACATACAGATATCTACTGCATACATAATAACTTGACTTTGCATTTGTCATTTAATATCTTTTTTACTGTATGAACATATTAAATAACTATGGACAATAATATTCAAACCCCGGGCAAGTGATTTTTATTACATGAGTCATCCTATTATAAAAACCGGAGGCAAAGCTCACTTCTATGGTATTACATGTACTTGGTAGATGGATTCTTATACTCACTTTTAACTCCCACTTTATTTAGAGATTTGTAGTTAGCAAATTTGACCTAAACAGGTTTGAGGTTTGCATATTCAGCTCTGACATAGTTACGGTTTTGCATATATTCGGCCTAGACAGGATTGTAGTTGGCACATTCGGCTTAGACTGGATTGTAGTTGGCACATTTGGCCTAAACAAGGAATGCAGTTTGCACATTTGGCCTAGACAGGATTGCAGTTGGCATATTCAGCCTAGACAGGATTGCAGTTGGCATATTCAGTCTAGACAGGATTGTAGTTGGCATATTCAGCCTAGACAGGATTGTAGTTGGCACATTTGGCCTAGACAGGATTGTAGTTGGCATATTCGACCTAGACAGGATGGCATTAGGCATACATGTATTCGGTTTTGACGGGATAGTATTACACTAATATAGAAAAGCAGTGGAGCCACCCCATCCCCGAAATTTCAATGCAGGGGTCATTGTCTGTTTCATGAGAAAATTTTACTCAACATTTATGACAAACATTCATTATCGGGAACGTTAACGAATTAATACTTTGTAAACAGTCTCCCATGATGCAACACAATCAAAATGGATAGTGTTGACTGATATGGAAAGAATGACTGAATACAAAGATTCTTTCACATACACTCTCTGCTTCATCCCATTTGTAGACAACAATATTCTACAGGAAGTGGTACAACTGAATACATGTGCATATCGCTCCATTGTTTGTGGGTAACACAGGAAGCAACTGCGCTTCCCTGTGCATTTAATGAAAGTAAAAAGGGATTTCTGAATAGAATAATAAGAGTTCTATTGACGACTCACCGCAGAGAGAACGTATGCATCCGCTGTCTTCATGACAAACTTCCGGGTGACCGCTTCTTCCATAATCTGCTTGACCTATAGATGATAAATATACAGGAATAAAAATCAAATAAGAATTCATTGAAGTATGGTGAATATTTTTTCTCTATAACATCATCATCTCAATGACAACCATTACTTCAATGATGAATCTCAGTGACATCAACTAAATGACTTCATTTTCTCAATTACATCACCATCTAAATGACATCATCTAAATGACTTCAACTCAATGACATCACCATCTCATTATCTCACCATCTCATTATCAGTAGCATCATCATTTCAGTAACAAACATCATCTTAACGACAACCCAATGACCATCTCAATGACATCACAATACCAAAGACAACACCATTTCAATGAAACCATCCCAATGTCATCACCATAATTATCTCAATGACATCCCAATCTCAATGACATCCCAATCCCAATGACATCCCAATCTCAATGACATCCCAATCTCAATGACATCCCAATCCCAATGACATCCCAATCCCAATGACATCCCAATCTCAATGACATCCCAATCCCAATGACATCCCAATCCCAAAGACATCCCAATCCCAAAGACATCCCAATCCCAATGACATCCCAATCCCAATGACATCCCAATCCCAATGAATCCCAATCCCAATCCCAATGACATCCCAATCCCAATGGCATCCCAATCCCATTGACATCCCAATCCCAATGGCATCCCAGTCCCAATGGCATCCCAATCCCAATGGTATCACAATCCCAATGGCATCACCATTTCAATGGAAACATTATCTCAATGACATCATTATCTCAATATCACAATCCCAATGACATCACAATCCCAATGGCATCACCATTTCAATGGAAACATTATCTCAATGACATCATTATCTCAATATCACAATCCCAATGACTTCCCAATCCCAATGGCATCCCAATCCCAATGGTATCACAATCCCAATGGCATCACCATTTCAATGGAAACATTATCTCAATGACATCATTATCTCAATATCACAATCCCAATGACATCACAATCCCAATGGCATCACCATTTCAATGGAAACATTATCTCAATGACATCATTATCTCAATATCACAATCCCAATGACATCCCCATCTCAATGACATCCCAATCCCAATGACATCCCAATCCCAATGACATCATTATCTCAATGACATCACAATCCCAATGACATCACCATCTCAATGACATTATTATCCCAATGACATCACGATCCCAATGACATCACCATCTCAATGAAATCACCATCTCAATGACATCATCATTTCAATGACAGCAGTTTAATGTTTTATTGACATGCAGTTGATACAGTTTACCAAATTGCTTGGTAATTACATTCCTTATTACATGCCTTCATTTTCACACAAATTTGATAGACAATTAAAATAGGAACACTCAGCAAGTTTGTCACAGATGAGTGAAGCTTGATGATGCTTAACAGTGACATTTTTTTTTCTCAAAATAGCATTCTCCAATCTTGGCTGAATATTGTAATCTACATATATTGAAAGAGAGGAATGTGATATAAATATGTAAGAACAGATACATACATGCAACCTCTAGAAAATCATTGCCTGGGATTGGGATTGTCCATGAGATACACAACAGTATATTTTACAGAGTAATGTGTCAGAATTTGAAAAAAAAAAATATTAATCATCTAACAAATATAGTGACAGTAAAATGTATGGTTTTAACAAGCAAATGAAGTATGAATTGATACCCAGAAACACTAGAAAGAACACGGATGTGCAGGTGAGGTGTCACATCGCATTAACTTAGCGAGTCTGTGAAAATCTTGAACTATTGTACATGTAACAGTGAAAATTCCTCTGCGGCCCTGTGAGGTGGTGTGTAAGGCTTTTGCAAAATTCTGCATTCACAAATACCATAAAATCATAATAATTCCCAGTAGCAAAAATTAATGGTTTACTGTTTTTGATTTAGCATCTATTTTTTTGAAACAAAACCATCTGTAAATGACCGAGATCCGGTTCCGGAATGCCAGAAATGATTTTGGATGATTTTTTAGCACAAAAATGGCCACCATTCCACCATTTTGAATTTGGAACGTCAAACCAATAAATCTGTATATACATTGATGTATAATGAATATATAAAATTTGAACATAATCAGTCAAAGCATGTCAGAGATATTGCACTAGAACCACAGTCATT